CTGCCACCACCCTCTCCACCACTTTGCTCAAGAAAGAAACATTGGCGATGGGCCTATAATTTCCAATATCATCCGCCGCCAAATTTGGTTTCTTCCTAGTGGGCCTAGTGAGTGTCTCCTTGAGGGCAAAAGGAATTTTGCCCTCTTGGAGAGACCCATTAATTATTGCTGTGGCTCATTCTGTTGTTACCAGCCTGGCTGCTTTGATTCGCTAGGCCGGGCAAGGGACAAGGAAGGAGGTGGTGGCCCGACAGCAATCAAGCGCTTTGTCCACCAAGTCTGGTATCACCGGCTGAAAGAAATCAAGAATCACCGGGCAAGGTGGAGCGCTGGATATCTCTGCTCGATCCATTGTATTTTAAAAAGGAGAGAGATCACGGTGAATATCCTCCACTTTTGATTTTTAAAATGCTGCAAATTGGTCAGGTGAGATATTAGTGAGAAGCCCATCACCCAGACCAATTCCGGATAGATCGCGAACTATACGGAAAAGTTCTGCCTGCTGATTGGAAGCTTTGCTTATCTGGTCAGCGAAGTGTGATCGTTTAGCAGCCCTTACCTTAGCCAGGTAACGGTTAGTTGCGATCCTGACAGCTATCATATTATAATCCGTTGGTTCCTCCCTCCAAATGCACTCTAGCCTTCTCCTGATTCACTTCATTGCTCGTAGATCCCAATTATACCAGGACTCTGGCCGAGCTCTGTGCCTGAGAGGGTGTTTAGGAATGATCGTGTCTACAGCCCTAGTGGCAGCGGCAAGCCAGCCATCCACCAGAGCTTCGACAGGAGCGCCAGACAGTTCAGCTGGAATCCCTCTCATGGTATCATGGAATCTCAATATAACCTTCGAGGGCGGACCATAGAAATAGGTCCATGCTCCCTGAGAGGGGGGAGTGCCACTGCGAGGTTACATTTTATGAGGTGGTGATCTAACCATGACAAGGGGACTAACACCAAGTCAGTCACCATCAGACCATGCTTGCCCCATTTGGGGGCAAGGTACTAGAGTGTGTTGCTGGCTGAAGTGGATTATTAAGACCCGTTTCAACCTGGCTTCAGGCCAGATTATAGGATAGAGATGGCTTTGATCACGCTGGTGGATGATTTATGCCAGAGATTAGTATGATCTTGCTGCTTGTGCTCGATCTCTAAGCAGCTTTTAATACCACCAAGGATGATATTTTGGGCCATCTCTCTCAGATGCATCTTAGAAGCACCATTTCATGGTATTTGCACTCCTTCCTTGAATGGCTGAGCTCAGAAAGTGATGCAAAGGTGAGGTGGGGGAACCCTATTTAACATCTTGGCCAGAGTTCAGTTCTTTTCCCCATGCTATTGAATAACTACATGAAACCACTCGGATAAGTTAGGGTCTTACATTCCAGTTTGCATTCCCTCGTAGATCCCAATTATACCAGGACTCTGACCGAGCTCTGTGCCTGAGATATATGTCTTAGTTATATCCTGCTTGGATTACTGCAATGTCCTATATGTTGGGGTCCAAGTTCCTTGGCTTTTAAGATCTTCTGCAAAGTCACTTTCCTCAGTCCCATCACCTTCACAGCTTCATTTGGCAATGACATGAGAGAAGGCCTTTTCAGTGGCTGTGCCTAGACTGTGGAATGTAGTCCCCCTGGAAGTTCAGTTGGCCCCCTCCCTCTGTCCCTTCTACTGACAAACAAAGAGCTTCCCTTTTATGCAAGCTTTTAATTGACTGGGAAATGGGGGGGGGTTCATTATGGAATGCTCTGTTTTCTGAATTCAGTGGAATATGGTTTAAAGGTTATTTTAAATTGCAGTTTTTAATAATGTTATCTGTTTGATTGTTTTTAATATTATATTTATGGGTTTCTTAATTATGTTTACTATATTTTTAATTCTGTGAGATACCTTGAGTCCCCTATGTGGAGGCACTAAAATAAATTAAATTAAAATAATTGTAGTTTATATACTACACAGAAAAGTTAACCAAGTGTGTATGATCAGGCATTAAGGTAAAGGTAAAGGTTCCCCTTGACAATTTGTCCAGTCATGTCCAACTCTAGGGGGCGGTCTCATGTCCGTTTCCAACCCATAGAGCTAGTGTTTGTCTAAGGACAATCTTCCGTGGTCATGTGGCCAGCGCAATTAGGCACGGAATGCTTTTACCTTTCAACTGAGGTGAGACCTATTTATCTGATACCTATTTATCTACTCGCATTGTGCATTTTGCATGCTTTTGAACTGCTAGTTTGGCAGAAGCTGGGACAAGCAACGAGGGCTCACTCCGTCGTGTGGATTTGATCTTACAACTGCAGGTCTTCTGACCTTGCAGCACAGAGGCTTCTATGTTTAACCCGCAGTGCCGCCACGTCCCTCTAATAATCAGGCATTACTAACACCTAATTACCAGCTGGTCTAACAGGGATCTTGACAAACCAGTTCTGGGATATAACTAACTCAGTTACTGAAATTATTGAATTTCCAATTATTGATTGGAATTACTGATCTCCTATTAACCTAGGAAAACAATGGCATCCATGCAAACATTTCGTGTTTTCAGCACTTTTTATTCAGAAAACATTTGGGATAAACATCACAAACTCACTTTTGAAAATATTTATAAGATTTAGGCTGATGCTTTTAAACAATCACTCTCCATTCTGTTCATCACAAATCTGTTAACTCAAGAATTTTGGAACACAGACTCAAGATACAATTCTATTAAATAGCTGGTATTGTTCACCATATTTTATATCACCATATATACATCTAATAAGATCTGGGTAACATTATGGTGAGTACAAAAGGTTGGAATGGACTAGGTAGTTCTTATGATGCAGATGCTTTAACAGACCCACCCACCAAAAAGTAGCACTATTGTGTTGTCTTTCAGGTTGAATGCAGTGTTCCTTTTTTGAGCTACTTTTATCTGGCCCCTAAGTGTCACAAACTGAAGCTTCATTGACATACTATTGGCTGATGACTTGTTCCTATTCAAGACCTACAGTTGGTGTCATGTATATCTGCATGGATTGAGGTTACTGCTTGCTTTTCATTATGTGAAGTGAACTTGTGGTGTAGCAGATCTACTCAGGATACGTAGTGAGAACTCTTGAGAGGAGTGATTCTGCTTTCCCCATCTTTCAGCAACCAGGGTACAAGACCTATCAGTCCCCACCATATCCACAACAAAGCTACTTATAGTTGATTGGATCCCTTGCTTGCTAACATCCTGTCCATTGGATATCTCTTAAATTGATTCTGTCCATTGATTCTGTCCATAAATTCTGGGTCATTATATCAAGAGTCTGGCTGCATCAGTTCAAAGACCTATCTAGCCCATCATTCTGTTTACACAGAGATCAACCAGATGGCCCTGGGCAAGACAATAGAAGAGCACCTTTCTAGTCATGTACGCCAGGAACGTATCTAGCCCATCATTCTGTTTACACAGAGGTCAAGCAGATGGCCCTGGGCAAGACAATAGGAGAAGAGCACCTTTCCAGTCATGTACGCCAGGAACTGACATATGGAGGACAGAATAATTATCCATCTTGAGTAATGGCTATTGATATTTTCATAGCCTCATAAAATCTCATCAAAAATCCCATTTCTGGAATATAAAGATTCTGCAAAATGGAAGAGGTGTACAAGAGAGAAATACTGTTTCATGATGGGTGCTAGTAAGAAGACAATCATCACTATCTGGACTTTAGGCATTCCTCTTCTTTTCAACCATATGCTTCACAATTCCTTCCATGAGATTTACCTATACATATAGCTCAACATAACACCTCATGCAGGTAATGAAATGGACAGTTTGAGCATGAAAACATAAGGAGTCAGAACGCTTGTTATTTTTTATGATGTCGCAAGATCAGAGCCTGGAAACATTAGTTTCTTGGGTTTTATAAAAAATTCCATCGCCCAGAACATTAGCTGGAAGATTCTGGAAGTGTTGGCTGACAACATACAACTTTCCCAAAGTCAATTTCAGGTGCATACATGATGCCCTCTGGAAAACATGAGATCACCTATTTACCTACTTACTTGGGCTAAGTGCACTTGAACTGGATAAGACATAGTTCTTAGTAGAGATGTGCGGGCTTGTGGCATTAACTGCTCTTTCTAAAATGTCTACCTGTAATCCAGCTGATTCTCCCCTGTTCCTCTCACTATATCTCTTTGGTCAAAAGCTAGTTACGTTTCTCAACTCTCTTGGTAAACACTGCAGAATTCTTAGTACTGAGTTGTGGCTGAAGGAAAGGACAGAAAAGGAACCACATGTCAAGAACACATCTGGTCCTGAAAGTTTTTTTCCCACAAGAGTTTTGTGCTCCCTGTCAGATGGAATAGTATCTTGAAGTTAATTTGTTGAGTGGCTGGGCACAACACATTTGTCTTGCCCACTGCCAAGGTTACTCGGGTTTGTAATCAGGACTAAAGCATTTACTTTTCTAAAGTCCTTCTCAAAAGGCTAGGGATACATGGCCCTCACGTTGTACGTATGTGTTCCTTTTGTTTTGTATTGTTTTGGGCCACAATGATAAGGGAAAGTATACACCGCACAGGCTGGAAGAGGCATTTGTTCATGGCTCCCCCTGTAATGAGTTTCTAATTGTTTCCAAAGTTTATGGCCGATAAAACGGTTAATCTGTGTGATGACAAAAAGGAAGCAGGGAAATAATGTGACACACTTGAATGAACCGTAAGGAAATAAAGTGCACAACATGTGATAATGCCATGACTCTGTGTTGCTGCACATTTCTGGGCTGAAAAGATATAGCTTGATGGGTAATTTGTCATGCTGTGCAATAGAGAACAACAGTAAAGAGACTTCAGACAGAAGAAAATTACACAAATAGTAGGGTGGAAAGGTATAATTGAAGATGGCAAAAGATTGAAAGAAAGACATTTAAAATTACTGTACTGACCTGCTAAATGCACTTGGGCGTGGAATCCTGACCCCACAAGAAGAGGCATTAAATGACTGCAGGCTGTGACACTACTACGGGATAATGCCAATCTTGCAAAGCGCTTAGAAAGAAGGAGAGGGGCGGGGGAGGTGAGGAACAGGCTGAAGTTAACAGAAAAGATCCTGATGCTAATTCATGGGGAATTCAGTCAATTCCAACAGGAGGACTCTGCAAAAGAGAGGGACAGAATTTAGCTTCAGTATTTCATCCAATATTTGTCTCATTTTCAATTCTTTGATGAACATGGATCATATCTCTAACTGTGCCAACATGCTGCATATGTGCCAGGAAATGTGAGAAGAGCTGGTTCTAGTAAGAGCTTGTAAAGTTACTTATAAGAACACGGAATATAATATGCTGAGAGCAGTGACAAGATGGTGTTTCAAGCCCCAGACTCCAGATTTGCATGGTCTCTTCCTTTCCTCACCACCTCACACATATACAATGAACCGTTATCCCTGCCTTCTCCATCCTTATGTCCCCCCCCCCCAGTGATGGGGGGGAAATTCAATTCTGTCCATTTTACATAAGAATTTTCCCAAGTTCCTCAGATTTCTTTATATGCAGAATGGAAAGGACTCAAGAGTTCAGTGTGGGAGAATCCAAAATTGATAGGTTTATCCATTAGGCCCAGCGCTTTAGGTACTCATATTGCTGTTGTTGTTACATGCTGCCAAGTCATCTCAAACATATGGCAACCCTAATACTGAGTGACTTCCAAAATTATTGTCTCATCCCAGAAAAGTCTCCCCCAGAAACATAAACTACAGATAGCATGTGAGGTTGCAAACAAAAACTCCAACAGAAATCTATCAATGGCATCAAGCAAGGGTTCATCCCATCTTAATACCCATTTTAAAACAATGGTCTTCCCATGACCAGACTACCCAACTAAGAAAGGGATAAATTTTCCACTCTAGTATTGAGTCCCAATGCTCACTGTTTCTCTGTAGCTTGCATAAGAGATATTTTGATCTCTTAAGATGATGTGACAATTCCTGGAACCAATGAAAAGCCATTTTGGAGCAGAAAACATCCAGAAAAGCAGGCTCAGGCTCAGGTACTAAGTAGAATGAAGCAGCTATCTCAGACAGCACAAAGTGGTAAAATGTTGGAAAACACAACTGATGGTGGATCAGAGAGGCGAGCAGAAAACATCCAGAAAAGCAGGCTCAGACTCAGGTACTAAGCAGAATGAAGCAGCTATCTCAGACAGCACACTTTGGGAGGCAAAGTGGTAAAATGATGGAAAACACAACTGATGGTGGATCACAGAGCCTCCCTCACTTCCCAACATGTCGGTCTGCTGCCCACCCATGCAGAAGAGGCAGCCAGTGCTGAAGTAAGAGTCCGCTGCCAGACCATTTGGTTTATCTACATGACATTGTTGTGAGGGGGCAAGCCATATTTGCCTCACACAGGAAGACATTTTGTGGCAGCCTGCTGAAAAGTAAGATTTGAGAGATGGAAGACATTTGTTTTTGCGTCCAAACAAATTGAATCCCTTTGTACTTTGTTCCTTCTACCTAGCACTGTAGTCTAAGGGCAAAGCCAATCAGGATTTTTAAGAACATTGAAAAAAATGACCCAACTATGTAACAACCATAGCTATGTGCAAATGGTCTCTCAGAATTCTCCATGGTGTGTGTAACATTCTGCAGCTAACTGCAGCTTATTAGTGAGGTGTAGCGGTACATGTCATCATCGTTTAGCTGTTTAGTTGCTAACTGCAGCTTATTAGTGAGGTGTAGCAGTACATGTCGTCGTCGTTAGCCGTTTAGTCATGTCCGACTCTTCGTGACCCCATGGACCAGAGCATGCCAAGCCCTCCTATCTTCCACTGCCTCCCGGAGTTGGGTCAAATTCATTCTGGTAGCTTTGATGACATTGTCCAACCATCTCATCCTCTGTCATCCCCTTCTCCTCTTGCCTTCACACTTTCCTAACATCAAGGTCTTTTCCAAGGAGTCTTCTCTTCTCATGAGATGGCCAAAGTATTGGAGCCTCAGCTTCAGGATCTGTCCTTCCAGTGAGCACTCAAGGTTGATTTCCTTTAGAATGGATAGGTTAGTTCTCCTTGCAGTCCAGGGGACTCTCAAGAGCCTCCTCCAACACCACAATTCAAAAGCATCAATTCTTCGGCGATCAGCTTTCTTTATGGTCCAGCTCTCACTTCCATACATCACTACAGGAAAAACCATAGCTTTGATTATGCGGACTGGCAAGGTGATGTCTCTGCTTTTTAGGATGCTGTCAAGGTTTGTCATCGCTTTCCTCTCAAGAAGCAAGCGTCTTTTAATTTCGTGGCTGTTGTGTCCATGTGCAGTGATCATGGAGCCCAAGAAAGTAAAATTCCGACTTGGGATTCCTCCAGTCCAGCCTTTCGCATGATGTATTCTGCATATAAGTTGAATAAGCAGGGGACAATATACAGCCTTCTTGTACTCTTTTCCCAATTTTGAACCGATCAATTGTTCTGTATCCAGTTCTAACTGTTGCTTCCTGTCCCACATATAGTTTTCTCAGGAGATAGACAAGGTGGTGAGGCACTCCCATTTCTTTAAGGACCTGCCATAGTTTGCTGTGGTACACACAGTCAAAGGCTTTTGCCTAGTCAATGAAGCAGAAGTAGATATTTTTCTGGAACTCTCTGGCTTTCTCTATAATCCAGCGCATGTTAGCAATTTGGTCTCTAGTTCCTCTGCCCCTTCAGAATCCAGCTTGTACCTCTGGGAGTTCTAGGTCCACATACTGTTGAAACCTACCTTGTAGGATTTTGAGCATAACTTTGCTAGCGTGTGAAATGAGTGCAATTGTACGGTAGTTGGAGCATTCTTTGGCACTGCCCTTCTTTGGGATTGGGATGAAGATTGTTCTTTTCCAGTCTTCTCGCCCCTGTTGAGTTTTCCAAACTTGCTGGCATATTGAATGCAGCACCTTAACAGCGTCATCTTTTAAGATTTTAAATAGTTCAACTGGAATGCCATCACCTCCACTGGCCTTGTTGTTAGCCAAGCTTTCTAAGGCCCACTTGACTTCACTCTCCAGGATGTCTGGCTCAAGGTCAGCAACCACATTATCTGGGTTGTCTGGGATATCCATATCTTTCTAGTATAATTCCTCTGTGTATTCTTGCCACCTCTTCTTGATGTCTTCTGCTTCTGTGAGGTCTCTCCCATTTTTGTCCTTTATCATGTTCATCTTAGCGATACATGTAGGTTGAACAATTAGGCATGCATCCAGGCACATGATGGAAGGCTAGCTCTGATACCTTCTGAATTAGCTGAAATTAGCTACATCAAGTTACATGAACACCAATGAGATTCTGCTGATAGTCTCACCATGAAGAGATCTTTATGACAGGACCTTAATTTTTCTGTAATACTTACAAAGTCCAAGTTCGGGCAGTACGTACCTTAATAGGTCACTAAAACATTACAAATAAGTCAAAATTGGCATTTTTTTATATTTCTATGATACTTGCAATTGTTGCTTTCAACTACTGTATTTTTTAAAAAAATTGTCGAACTGGGTTTTTTGTTTGTTTGAATTGATGTGTACTTAATCTTCAAAGAGGGCTAAGAAAGAATCTTGACTAAAACTGAAAAAGCTGTTGCCAGACAGAGTTGACTGCACTGGGTGAGACAGATGAAGGTCTGAGTCAGTAATTGGGTAGCTTCCTAGCTTTCTGTGGTAGTTCCTGAGTGTAACTCAGTAAAGCAGGCAGCGGGCAGAGGCAGGGAAATATGACCATGACATATAAAACAAAGGGCTCCTTAAGAAGCCATTGTCAGGAGCAGCAAGTACATATGGAGTTGAAACATACACATGGACTAAACATGATAGATGCAGTTATTAGCTATCAACATAACTAGGATGATGCTAGTTAAAAGCAATTCAGCAATTTTTTGAAACAACAATCTGATTTTACTTTTCAGTATCCATATCTGGCCCTCTGTGGTCCTCAACAAAGGACATGTTTCAATAATGCAAGCTTCTGCTTTTGTTTAAGATGTCCAATGCATTCAGAGGAATGTCCAAATGTTATTCTGTGGCTGCTGAAGATGCCAAATCATCCATCTGCTCCTGCAAAACTTGGCTCTAAAACTAAACATCTACTTAAAGCAAATTAAATTAATTAAAGATCATAGCTCTATCCTTTGGTAGTAAATTCAAAATCTTCCCAGTTTTCAAATGTGGCTGCCCTATTGATCTCAAAGACCTGATCAAGGATGTTGAAATGGGCAACTCAGCAAGCCAATTGCTGTCATTCTGTTGGTGGGTGATGTTTTTTGGGTTTTTTTTTAAAGAGACATATAACTCTCGAACATTTGTAACAGGTTTTGCTTCACTGGAGACTGACGGAGCCTCTGGTTAAGCAGCCACAAACTGATTTCCGGATTTTAGACATATATTTGTAAAACAGAATGTCTTTCAGATGGCAGAATTACTCAGCAGGAACAGAATGAATGTAACATGCAAGGAGTTTTTGTGTAAGGGCAGAAGTGAACAATTTAGAAATGAATAAGGAAAAAATTGCACAAAAGACTTCAGTTTACCTCAGTTCAGATCACACTCTCGATCCCCCATGGCATTGGAAATTAGTGCTATGTCAAAAAAAATCCCCCTTGAGAATTTTACCACTCTCATTTAATACGACAGAACAGACATTCTTTTCAAAAAGAGTTTCAAAGGAAGAGAAACTTCAGAAACATTTTCATTGGCAAGGTTCCAGATTCTTGTGCTTATCTTAGATATGAGGCAGGTGAGCAGCATATGTACGTGTCCTGCCTTTCACAGCACAACCATCTCTATGACAATTAGCAGTTCTCCCCCTCCCCCACTCTACAATTCTCACATTTCTGTTAAACCCCAATGGGGAAGTCAAAAGGTAACACCTTCAACTTCTGCAGGTCCTTTTCCAGTCAGGAAGTGTGGCCAGCCAGAGGAGCTGCAGAGTGATGAGGAGATGAGTGATTGAAAGAAAAAAACAAATGGAACACCCTTCACCACTTCTGCAGTACTAGAGTAAAATCAAAAATAGAGCCAAAGGACAGATTATGGCACAGTAAGAGCTTTCTCTTTTCCTGAAGGAAACACAACACTGCCCTTCCTCACACCTAGTATAGGACACATAACTCACTGGTTTGAGTTTCTGGCTGTGGAAC